GTTGGTCTAATATACCTTAAAGTGAGTTTATTTTTAAAAAAGATTTATTTATTTATTTATACAAGCATGGATACAGTCAGAAGTGTGGGAGGGTGAGAGGATTCACCAGAGACAGAGTGGGGAACAGAACAGGCAAACCGATGAAATACACTGCTGAGGGGAGCAGTGGGCAAGACAGGAGAGGTCTGTCGCACAATGTGGGACCCTCACCGGCAGCCGGGGATCGAACTGGAGCTGCAGAGGCTGTGGGCAGCTTCACAGCCCAGTGTTCAACTGTTGCGCCACCAGGGGAGGCCCTAGAGTGAGTTTTTTAGCTGTGTGAGTGTGTGTGTGTGCTTAAATATATTTTAACAAGAATAGATGGTATATAGATTTCTTCACATATTTGCTTGATTGTTCTTGTTCCCCCTCTCTTTTTATTCACCGAATGGAGAATTTCTAGAGTTTGCACATCTCTTTACTATAGATTGAGAATTTGGGGGCTTCTGAAATGATTGAAGCAAGCAGTACATATTTAATTCTGCTGTTTATTATTTTTCATCCATTTCCCTGATTAACTCTTTAATCATATTTCGTTTTGTGACGTTATATATTTTTTAGTTTATTGGTGTCCTGGCCACCTTCCATCTCCCCCTTCACCCCACCCTCCATGTATCTGTTTACTTTCTCTAGTACTAAAACAATTTCTGGCAGAATGGGTTGCAAAATTATGCAAAACTGAATAAAAATTAATAAATGAGTGAGTCTAATTTAAAAAAGATAATTCAGTTTATATTACTTAGTCCTTGCTTTTTATTTATTCTTAAACAGTCCATCAAGAATTCCATGCTTTCTGACCTATACTGGGAATTTCCTGCAGAGTTCATCCTCAGACAAATGAAGGTCAGAGACTTCTACCATAAGTAGTTTCTTTAGAGATTCAATCTTCTACTCATTCACAAAATATTGATTGAGCCTACTATTTATTATTCCCTGTTCTAGTTACCAAACAAGGAAGAAACAAGGAAGGGCAAAAGTCCTTCCCATTAGGATGTCACAGTCAAATGAAGAGGGACATACACCATAATTGCAATTAATTCGGTAAATGTCAGGATAGAGATCTGTATAATGTGCTGTGGCAGCAGAGAGAAGATGGGGTCTTCCTTTTCCTGATGCGAGCTAGCTAAGACTTTTTAGAGGACAGTGACATTTTCACTGCATCCAGAAAAATAATGAATAGAAATCATTTTCCCTAATTTATCTTTTTCCTCATTAAACACATATTCCAAGAGACCTTCACTGTTCTAATATACTTCCTCCATTCAACACTGAATAACTCCTGTGTACCTTCCACTGGGCTTAGGCTGTGGGGGTACAACCAAGATTAAGACAGGCAGGACATCCTATCACAATCATAAGATATCATTATCTGAGATAATTGCTAGAAAACACAAACACAAGGTAACAAACTCATATACAGAAAGAATACCTAAGCTAGTCAGTAGGATCAGAGAAAGCTCTTTCAAGGAAATTCTACTTCATGTATCTGAGTGTGCATGAATTTATCCCCATCTGTTGACTCAGATAAAATGCAGTAGAGTAGAGTGGTCCCATCATGTACGTTAGGGACAAACAAATCCACTTGGTACGTTTTGTTAGTAGAGATAAATTTTATGATCAATGAGGGAAGCCTGGGTTCTTGAAGATCATCAAGCACGTTAACATGACAGAGCACTAGCTCATTGTTAATTCCAACACCTGTAAGGTACAAAACGGTTCTAACACTGCACAGTTTTGTCCACACAGCATCTGCCAAGGTGATCCCTGGATTATTGTTTACCTGTCTGCTCCTGAATTGTGTCTGTTCCCGCTGCTTCTCCCTCATGCTGACTTGCTTGTCTCCCTCCATGCTAGTCCTGAGCCACTGTCTCACCTGTAGTCCGCCTGGGCCTGGCCTCTGTCCAGGACCTCACTGCCCTTCCTGGTGGATTCTGTCTGATTCAGACCCTGTGGTACCATGTTATCCTATGCTCATGCCTGTTCTCTGTTAGGGCTGGGGTTGAACAACTCCAAGAAGGTGTCATTGCCTTTTACAGTGAGGCAAAGCGGTATGGTAGGCTCTTCAGATTTAAAGGCTAAGGGTCATTTAGTTCAGCTAAAAGTGTTATTCTGACTGAGATGTAGTCATAATTTATTGTCAGACTCATCTGTGTTTTTAAAACTGCATTTGTCAAAATAATGAAGGTAGCTTATGACTATTAAGGTTAATTATCTTAACGTGTTTCTGTTGTTTAGTGGTTCTTTGCTTTCTCTACTTTCCTATTTTCTCTGTTGTCAAATGGAACCAGCACTTTCCTTTTCAAGGTCACACCAGCCAGATTTAGGTCACCAGAGAGGCAGGTTATAGTCGGGCAGAACTTTATGAGCCTTGTTAATCTGCAAGGATGTCAAAGACCTGATTGCCTATGAGATAGGCCATATAAAGTGTTCATTATTCATTGCTTTCCTGTGAAATGAAAGTAAAGCTTTTTTTTTTTTTGCTTTTTTCTTTTTTGAGTATGCCTCACATTCCAGGTTCTAGGCAAGGGGAGAAGCAAACATCCAATTTAACTGGAGGAGCTCAGAGCCTTTAGGGATAGATTGTGATGGGATAAGCATCACAATGGAGGTCCAGACCAAGTGTTCTTGGCAGAGGAGGCTAAAAGGGCTCCTGTCATTAAAGATGGCATGTAATAACTAGCGACACTCAGTAGAGTCTTCTAGCTGAGTCGCACATTTGGCACTAGGAATGAAAACTGACTAGAGCAAGTCTGGCTTTTCCAGAAGGAGGAAACTCCTTTCTACTACCTAGGAGCCTTTGTCCTTGTAATGTAAGTCAGACATAATTTGTCTGATGTTACAAGATGTGTGTGTGTGTGCATGTGCGTGTGTGTTAGTAGATTAGATAGTTTTGGAGGATAGAAGTCCTTTATTCACCTTGTAATCCGCCTCCGCAGAATTTCAGCAGAGTGCTTTGCCATAATAATAGAATAATAGGGCCTCCCTGGTGGCTCAAGGGGTTAAGACGCAACCTATGAAGATTTCCACAGCCTCTGTAGCACGAGTTCGATCCCTGGCCAGGGAGCTACCCACATGGCACAGCAGACCTTTCCTGTCTTGCCCGCTGCTCCCCCTCGGCAGTGTATTTCAGTCAGTCTGCCTGTTCTGTTCCCCACTCTGTCTCTGGTGAATCCTCTCACCCCCCCACACCTCTGGCCTGTACCCTCGTTCTTGTATGAATAAATAAATAAATCTTTTTAAAAAAAGAATAGAGTTATAATGATGATGATCGTTATGGTGGTTCAGTTTTTATTGCTGATTATTGAACAATAAAGACAAATTTAGTCTCTCAGATAAAGTACAATATATTTCAGGAACTTTCCTAAGCAATTCACATATATACATAATATACATTACATAATGAATATATACATTGTTTTATCTACATGATTTAACCCATCAAATATACATTATCCCTGTAATAGAGATTGTTATCCTGGTTGTACAGATGAGATACCTGAGGCATAGAGGAAGTAAAAAACTTCATCAAAGTTATCAGAGCTAACAAATCACAAACCCCAGCTCTAATATCAGGAAACCCTGGTTCCACAGTCCTTCCTCTTAATAACTAAATGTTTACTTTGTAGTTTCTCAATCAAAATATTTGTTGATTTTGTGCTTAATACTGAGAACACAGAAAAAATATATATGTCAAATGCAATATACTTTAACCACTGAAGGACTCAAGTGGTCTTAAAGTACTAAATAGAATGGTACCTTGGAAATAGAACAATAGTCACATTCTAGAATTGCCTCAAATACTAGGTATACCTGACCCTTCAGCTTCTTCATTCATAAAAGGAAGGAAAAACATCTATAAATACTACTTTTTATATTCTGTAGTTTATTTCTGTCACCCAGTGTGCCATTCATGATATTGTTGTCCTTTTCCCTCTACACAGATAATCCATAATGACAGGAGGAATATAAGGCATAGGAATTCGTAAAAGATTGATAATGTTTATCTAAAACCACAAGCATGTGCATAAAAAATAAATGTATAAGATCTCCTCCTTCTGGGAAATTGTGGAAATTAGGAAAATTAAAATAGCATATTATGTGCCAGATGTAGGGTGATTTTCTTAACATTGTTGAAACTTCATCTTTACCAGTAAACTAGGGGTAATAATATCTCACTATGGATCTTGTGAGCATGAAAAATACTATGATAAAATGCCTGCAACCCGATTTTCTGTAGGTGATGGTAATTGTGAACATTTTATTCTTCATTGATGGCTCTCAGTCTTCAATTGTGGCAATGTCAGAATTTGTGACAACTAACCACCTTTCAGTTCCTAATTTTGAAAAGGGAATACATTGTACTAGGTACTACGAGGATAATGAAGAAATGCAAGGTGTCATCCCTGTCATCAGGGAGTTCATAATCTGTGTTAGAGCATTATGATTTAAATGGCAATATATATTAGTTCAAGGTGACAAGAGAGATGCCAATCATAAAGAGAGAACAGTCAACTAGTTTAGAGTAGGAGAAATATAACTCAGACAGACATGTGAAAATGAAGGATTATCATGTCAGTAATGGCAGTATTACCATATCATGAAGTAAGACTTTATTGTGATGTGTGCATGTAATGCTATATTGGGCACAGGGGCTGCCCCAGTTACTCTCATCATTGCAAGTCATACACTGAGCTAAATCAGTCCCAGCATGAGCTTATCATAAATCATATGACAATTTAATTATTTCAACTTATTTTATAGGACCTTAGAATTTAATTTCATAGATAGAAATCTAAGTTATCAATTATTGATCTGTTTTATTCTTTTGAAGGGTTCAACACAAACCACTATTTAGCTCCATCTTTCCAATATGGCGGGATTATGGATCCTCAGAAGTTTTTTTCAAGCCACTGTTCTCTTTTATCAGACAACTTGACATTTCTTAAACATTCCTTCCCCAGATTTTTATTGGTGAGATATCCATGTATTTCATAAAGTCAACCAGAGAATCTTTGATTGCCCAGGAGAAAACTATTCTGACCGGAGAATGCTGTTACCTAAGCCCCTTATTCCGAAGGATCATACGATTCATAGGTAAGTACAAAAATATGCTGAGCTAAGGCCTCAGTTGCAGGTGTAACTTACTAAACTTACTGAAACTAGACCCACTTGATAAAACAAACTAAATTGTGAATGTATCAACTTCAAAAGCAAGGATTGCTTTGAGAATTTCCCAGGGAGCACAAAAATTGAGCCTAATTCTAGCGCCTTGTTCATTTTTTTTATCCTTGTATAAAGTGGTACTTATTAAACTATCCTACCAATGATTTCAAATTTGGATTTTTCCTTATACAATATTTATTGGTGATTCCCCCCTGAAATTGCATCCTAATATTGACTGGAATTGCCATGTACACTTTAAGTGAGCCAGCAAGGGTGGACTTTATCAGTGGCAGTGGGGCACTGATAAAGCAAATTTAGAAATAAATGTCCGGACAAAGATTGCCCATCCAATAATTTTGTTATACCAGGAACTTATCAAAATGTGAGCAACCAAATCCATCAGGTCCTTGAAAATAGTTGCAGAACAAATTGGTTTACTAGTGTTCAGGATATGGAATAATTAAGGCATGATCTACATCTCTCCTTCTAGGACTTTTCTAAAACTCCTGAGGTGATATTGATGATGATTATAGACATGAGAATGAATGTGTGTGGTGGCTTAGGTAGGAATTTAGGTCTTGCAGCATTCCTAGGTGGTAAGTACTCAGTAAATAACTATTACAGTGACTTGGTGAGATCCTACAAAAACCTACTGACCCCATCTTCATGGGAGCCTGTATAAAATGTGAATATGACTTACATTAAAACAAGCCATTTCAAAATGTAGAACTGACAACTAGAAAACTGAGGACTAGAATATGGCACGTTCTCAACTCTTTTGGTTATCCTTGATACTTTTTTTTCCTGTTGTAGACAGAGGTGGAATTTCTCAAGTCAGGAACAGAAGTCCACATCAAAATCAAATATGCAGTAACTTCTGTGGTTGGAGTGGAAGTGAGGGGAGTAATAAGGTAGTGAGACTAAGAAAATCGAATTTAAAATCAGCAACCTCTAGCATTAAAATAGTCTTTCTCATTTACTGATCTTATTGGTAGAATAAACTGTGGTGGAACTCTGCAGTTGGCTCATTGGGGGTACCCTGATCAATGAGGTCCTACTGTCTTGTTCATTAATTGCAAACAAGGATACCTTCCAAAGATATCCAGAGTTTGATCACTTCTAGAGTGGCTACATAACAATCTATGAGAGAAAAGAATACTTACTGTACAGGACAATGGATTAAACACTTCTTAGGCATTATTTCACTGAATCCACACAACACCCTATAATATATTGTTACAATCCTAATTGTACAGTGAAGAAGATGATAAAAAATGGGATAATAACTTTTCTCAGTGATGGATACATACACAGGTGTATTTGATTCAGGGGAGATCTTATGACCACTGTCTGAACTGCCTCCAGTGTATGTAATTAAAGCAACTTACTTAAGTAAAGGATTATTATGTTATAATCAAATGGAAATATTTTTCAAAGTCACTGTTACTTTTCCTTGACAAATATCAGTCATACCTATTGCTAGCCACTCCAGCTGGGAAAGCATCCAAAGAATGGAAATCTTAGCTGGCACCTGACATATATAGAGACCTGCCTGCATTCATTGGCAGAACAAGTCTTTGTTCATTGAGAGATGTCTGAAGACTCCCATCATTCGGTAATGAATCCTGCCTATTTCCTGTTGTGATTCCTGAAAATCCACTTGATTTAGTGCACTAGGCTGAGGCATGGCTTCAGGAAGACCACTATTATTTGTTTTGTTTTGTTTTGTTTTGTTTTTTTAAGATTTATTTATTTATTTATACAAGCACTGGGTACAATCAGAAGCGCAGGAGGGTGAGAGAATTCACCAGAGCCAGGGCGGGAAACAGTACAGGCAGACTGATGATACACTGCTGAGGGGAGCAGCAGGCGGCAAGAAAGATCTGTGCGCCATGTGGGACCCTCGCCCAGTGGCCGGGGATCGAACCGGCGCTGCAGAAGCTTGATGGCAACTTCACAGCCCAGTGTTCAACCGCTGCGCCACCAGGGAGGCCCAGGAAGACCACTATTACAGTAGATATTTTTCACCCTAGAGGAGCATCATATTCCTATTTTCAGAATCAGTGACACACGTATCCATTTGAGTCTATCATAAGCTAACAAAGTATTGGAACCTGGGATGATATGGCTTGGATATTTAGGTGAGAACAGTTAGTGTTCAGACGCCTAAGATATTTCTCTTAGAGAAGGAATCCTAGAATATGGAGTGAACAGGCAGGCAATGTGTAAGCCTTGGAGAATTAGAGGAAATGGCTTTGAAAGGGAAGAGAAATTGCTGGATAAAGAAGCAGTCCTCTTTTATTTTATGGAAACAGGATCTTTCTAGTTGCTAAAATAAAAAAACTTGAAGTCATATTATGCTATCCAAGAACTTATTAGAAATTAAAATTTTAAACTTAAAACCCTTGTTAGAAATTTTGATACCAACTAAATCAGAAAATCTGGGGATGAAGTTTCATGATCTGTTTCACAAGTCATAGGTGATTCTGATGCATGCTAACACGGGAGAGCCATGGTTTAGGCCATTAAAATTTCTTGTTTTTTTAAGTGATTTATCTTCATCTTGTCTTGCAACTTGGCTTTCTTCACCCCAGTACTACAAATATACCATCCATTAGACATTTTGTAGATCTTTCTGAAGCGAAAATATAATCAAGTCATTTCCCTGCTTAAAACTTCTCAGTGCATTCCTAGTGTTCCTAACAGGGAATTGCTTTGTTTGGTTCCTCCTCAGATGCTGCTCCTTCTGTCTAGAATATTCCACTGCCTCCCTGTCGCCACTAAAGCTAGCCCAGTCCCACACACCCTTCAAAGTGCTGCTCACAAATTATCTCTTTAGTGATCCAGACTAGCTTCCTCCTCCTCCTCTGAACTTTACACCTATGTCTTCTATGGGCATTTACCATATTACTATACTTTTTTTGTCTGTTGCTCCTATTAATTTGTGATCCATTGGAGAGCAGAGATTGTATCTTTTCCATTTTGCATACTGAAAAATGTATGGAAAATAGTAGGTTTTCAATAAAAATTTTTTGATGAGAAAAGAGCAAAGTTTAACTCTCTGAAGTCACAGATTTTGCCTAGAATTGCTTCTGTAAATGCTGATTCTTAAATATTCATTTGCTTCCTGTTTAATTAACTTTATTACCACTCATCAGCTTAGTTCTGGGAAATTAAAGTGCACAAATAAGGCAATTTCTAAGAGAAGGTCAGAGAAGTTTATTCTGACTTTTCATATAGGCAATTGGGAGCAGGAGTTCTATTTATCTTAAAGAAGCATAACTTTTTCTGAGTATGCAGTTTTTTTTCATGCAAGGAAAAAAACACACTACTTGACATAAAGGTCCCTTAAATGAAGATTTTTTTTGAAAAAATTAAAGTAAAATAAGGTAGTAATCAAAGTATATTAGGAATGTTATTATAAAGACCTAACAGTCTTTTTCTTTTCTCTAGTCCAGTAGCCACTAAAATACATACGATGCAGTTGGCATTAGAAAATGACAACTATTTCAGCTAGCTATTCTAATTAAATTTGAAATAGCATGACTGTTCCCTTGAAGTTTATGTAATTATTCTAGAATCCATCACGATAGTATATCCCAACAAATACAATCAACTTCACATTGCAAAAATGAGCAATACATTAGCAAAGTATTTTTAAAGAAAATAAGGGAGTAGCTGTCAAAGATGAGAAAAAACTCAGGATTCTAATACATATCTGGTGACAGCAAGTTGATCTACTTGTTCTACGTGCAATTTGGCTGTGTATTTCAATAACCTTAAAAATACCCACTAACCTAAAATTCCACTTCAGATAATCTCTTAAGGAAGTGATCAGAGAAATTGATGTTTGTGTTCTAAAATTATTTTATCCTAATATGTTAGAAATACCTAATTTTTAAAAAAAAATAATGCTGCAATCATAAATTACCATCTCGGAAAACAATTTTTTTTAGAATTTCTAATGAAAGGAGAAATAGTGTTATATGAAAGTTAAGATACTAGGAATCCATAATTCAAAATAAACTGGTTAAAACTTGTGTGTGTGTGTGTTTGTGTGTGTGTGTGTGCGTGCGTCCATAGAAAAGAGTTTGAAAGGAAGTATACTAAGTTAACTGTTAGCACTTCTGAGTTGTAGCATGATGGATGAATAATTTATATTTTTTTCATTCTATTCTATAATTTCTATTTGTTAGCATGAATATGTATAATTTTAAAATCCGGGGGGGAAGCTAAATATTATTTTTTAAGGTAGCAATAGTAAAATAAAAGCTATCCAGAAGGATGTCCAACCTCTTAACTTAGACTTCAGTGTAAAAGCAGAGCTGACAGTGGCACCTTAGCGTTCAAAAATCCCTGTCTTCTCTAGACTGTGTGCAAAGACTTGAACTGATAGCCCTTCACCCTCATACCCCTACTGAAATTATATTTTAAGGAAAAAGTGGCTAGAGTAATGAAGTCAAAGGGAAAACATTCAAATTAAATCATCTCTTCCCCTATATAAATGCTAATTGTTTTAAACTTGACAAAGAGGATTGAATTTTTCTGATTCACAAATCCAGCAATAATTTTCCCCCTAAGATTCTCATTATAAGAAGGATTCCAGCCTTTGGATGTAAAATTTCACAGCTAAACTTACCCATTTTTATTCATTATAAGCCTTTTAAGTGTAGGCAGGGAAAGGAATCTACTGAACTAACAAATATGACCACCATTTTACAAAAATGAATGTAGATATATTAGTAACAAGTACTTAGATTTTCCCCTTTTTTTCATTTTTTTCTCTCTATTCCTTTCCCTTCTTATAACATTTGCTATGGTATTACACTAAATTGAACAACAGTGCACATTTTAGTTCTCAAGAGAGATAATTCCCTGCATTCCTTTTCAGCAGTAACTACAAAAAAAGGAGTCATATGTTCAAAAGAATT